GGGGCTGTGGACTTGGACTGGGTGGAGCAGGAGGATGGGGTRAGAAGAGCTGGGCTGGAGCTGGAGCTGCTGCTTGGCACCCCCGAGGCCACGGGGTGCTCACTTGAGGGAAGYGTCAGAGCCCGGGGCTGGAGGCCATGGTCCTAGACAGTGTGGAGATGGTGCCACCCGAGACCTTGGGCCCCTGGAAGGAGCACAGGAGACGGCCATCCAYGGGGCTCTGCACCCGCAGGCTCTGCACCCGCACTCCGGCCGCTCTGAGGCCTTCTCACTTTCTCTCTTTCTTTCCTTCCTTCCCTTTTTTATTTTTTTTTGGGGGGGGGATTATTCTAGGGTAGACCAGACCTAGTGACAGGAAGGCGTCATTTATTTTTGAAAATTTTAAACACTCTCTAAAGTTTGATGAACAAAACAAATGGAATTAATGAACAACTCAAAGTATTCTGTCTTCTGGAAATGAAAACTTGATTTAATACAAATTAAATGTTGTTCCAAAAACCCAAATGTTCGCTTTAAAAAAMAAAAAGTCATCCCTATAGAACGTGCCAGCCTCTGCTGTCGTGACGTGTGGTGAGGGACGGTCCCCAGCGGCTGCTGAATCGYGGTCCTGACAAGCTCTCCTGGGTCCCGGGCTCCTGTTCCTGTGGCTCACTCCTCCTCTGCCTTCCTGCTCGTGTGTAGGCAGGGGAGGTGAGCAGGCTGTGCACAGCAGCCCTGCAGGTTCTGTTTCCTGCCTCACTTGTTCCATGGGGGGACTCAGATGCCCAGCTGAAGAGCCCGCTTTGACCTTGCTTGTTGACCTTGCCTGTTGCAGCATTTTGAGAGCAAATGGAAGCCGGGCAGAGAGGTCGGAAGTGGGACGCATTCTGGAATGCATTCTAGCACACGCTGTAAATCAGCAAAATGATGACAGTTTGAAGATAATCAAGTGGCTTTGAATTACAATTGAGAGAAACCTGTAATTTAAATAATCACCATGCACAAAGGCAGCCTATTTGACACTTAATAATTGTACAGAGAATTTTGCCCTAAAATCTGTTTTAAGTAGARAAGTTTCCTGCATCTATGAAAATGCTTTCCATTCTGTGAAGAGAAATTGAGATCATCACCCTAAAATAACTCCACACCCCACTTCTTCTCCACCCAGAGATACATAGGCACCTCCGCTGGTCCGTGGTGGTGAGATGAGAGGACAGTCGTTTTGTCTGGCCGAACAATTCGTTTCATACAGGACAGTGTGACCCTGGAGGACGACCTTAAACCCAGTGCCAGAGTCGGCCACTTGGTGTGTGTTTTTCATCAGGGGCCGAGGCTCTGAGCAGGGCACCAGMGGTGGAATGAGGAGGCGGCAGAGCAGCTGTAGCAGCCACAGAGGGAGGCAGGTGGCGGGGGACGCAGGGATGCGGCAGCATCAGACGGCAGGTCTAAGTGTCTTTGTGTCCAAACCAGGACACATTTAAGAATGAAAGGGGGCAGGAGGGGATGTCCCATGCCACACAGGTGACTCAGGAGGGCCACACTGCAGGCGTGTGAGGCAGGCAGACCCAGCCGTGTTGGAGACAGAACACAGGTGTGGAAGAAGAGAGGGGCCGAGGGGGACGCCACGTTCCCTCCCTGGAGAGACAGTTTCCATTTCCTGAACTGGGAAAAGGTCAGAGCAGGAGGAGGAGGGCTGGTGAGAACAAGAGCTGAGTTTGGGGCCYGGGGGTCCCTGGGCTGCCAGGCCTGGCTGGGCAGTAGGGCTTGAGCCTGCAGTCAGTGGGGCAGTGAGACAGGGGCCAGACGGCCGTGAGCCTGGGATGGAGAGAGGGAGGACCCTGAGACCAAGCCCCTTCCATGTTCCAGGTGGGGAGACAAGGAGGACCCAGCAGGAGAGCCACGCAGGAGAGCCAGAGGAGGCCAGCAGCCCCCTTTAATAATAATAAGGTGATGGGACGCTCAGATGCTGCTGACAGGTCCCCAACCTGTGAGCACTCTCCATGTGAGGCGGAGAAGGGACTCCGGAGGCAGGCAGGATGTCAGAGGGGCAGGCAGAAGCCAGGGGGATGCTGAGCGTGAAACCAGGATGGAGAACCTTCTGGAGAGAGCACTCTGCCCACCCACAGCATGACCATGTGGCTGGGCTGGCACGGCTGGAACCCAGGCCTGCAGTGGGCGMTGCACCATGGGAGTCTGTTGTCTGTTGTCCCCAACTCAAGTGGCAGCAGGGGCTCCTGAGGGTCAGAGGCAGGGCCTTTCCAGCCCCTCTCCTTGGCTTGCACGTGACCAGCTCCTCCCTGGGCCTCTCCACCTGCTCCTCCCTCCCTCTGTGCCRTCTCTCCCAGTTTCCCCTCCTGACACAGACACCAGTCACACTGTATAGGACCCATCCTACCCCTGTGTGACCAGATCTTAACCGAGTACCTCTGCCCAACCTTCTTTCCAAACGAGGTCGCATCCCAAGGTGCTGGGGGCTCAACACAGGGATCTTGGGTTCGGGACCACGATTCGTCACAATAGCTGGTGAGAACTCTGGTCATGGGGTGTGAACGTGGGCAGCTCTGGGAAGCTGCGGGGAAGAGCGCAGAGATGAGTGAGCCCCACAGTGAGGAGGTGAGCAACTGTGAGGAGGAGAGAGGGCCAGGAGGTGTAAGGGTGGCCTGAGAAGGCCAGAGTCCAGGCCATCAAAGCCTGGGGACACCAAGCCTGAGGGGTGAATGGTCTCTGGAAGGTGGCAGCCCCTCTACTCCTTCCTGGGACACAGCCAGGCAGACAGCAGCTGAGCCTGGGGTGTGCATGGTGGCCGAGGCCTTCCCGGGACCAAGAGCAATTCCAGTTGCCATTTGCAGTCCCTGTTGCCATTTGCAGTCCCTGTTGTTTGAATAAGAGCGAGGCTCAGCCCCTCAGTCCTAAGCTCAGCAGCGGGTCTTCCTGGCCCTGGGCCTGCAGGTTCCCAGCTCCCTGGGGGTGAGGTGTCCATATGTGTCCCAGCGTCCACACAAAAGCGCAGCCTCCACCATCCCCTGCACCAGTGGTCCTGGGATGGGGGCCGGCAGAGATGGGGAGGAAGTGCCCATTAGGGGGAGAGGGGCTCAGAGGGGCCAGAGTCCACAAAAAAACAGATGCTTCGGTTTCCACTTTTAATCAAAAACGCTGCCGTCCTGACAGAGTGTGACTTGGAGGCCCAGGTGGGCTGAGCCCTGCAGTCAAGTTCATCAGGTCCCGGCTGCTGGTGTCGGAAACACCCCAGGGGCCTGATGGCAGGCAGTGTGTCCCCTGCAGCTCTGACGCCTCCTGTGGGAGCAGGGCCCAAAGCCGGACACTCCACGTCTCACCACCGCCTTGCCCTGATCGGCAGCAGTGGGGACCGTGGGAGCCGGGGTCTGAGGAGGCCTGCTGGATGGGTGGGGACAGCCTGGGAGCCTCGCACCCAGCTGAAAACAACCCCCAGCCTGGGAACGGGATCAGAAATGCCAAGTAGAACCTCAGGCCCGCTTTCTCTTACAAGTGACCAGGTCACAGGGGGCTGAGGAGAGATTCCCAATCAGTGTGCCCAGAGCACCCCTGCAGGTGGAGGTGTCCCAGAGGGACAGACAGGCGGAGTAAGCACAAGCCCAGGGCAGGGCTCACACCTGCGTCCCCAGGAGCACACAGGTGGGGGCACAGGACTGCCCGAGGGCGCTGTCATTTTCTAAATGCAAAATTTTAAATATGTCTTTAGATTTGTGCCTAAGTCAACTGTTCTCATTATTCAAGGAAAAGAATATTCAGGCTCAGCTTATAAATAGTTATGTAAACTGACATGAGTGGGAATAACCCATTATGTTCATTTATCTAGTAAAAATAAATACTTAATATTATTTTGCAAAAGGCCCTGTGAAACTGTGACGATAAATCTCAGTGACAGTTGGTGTGTTTCCTAAGAGTCCCACATTCTAGATAGCTGTGGGAATCTGTTTTATTTTTGAKGTCACTAAGCTTGTGTGGGTCCTCGCAACACTCGAGCATTGGACAGTGAGAGCCCAGCCAGGCGGTGACCTGTGGGGTGCGGGTGGCTGGGGAGGCTGGGGAGACCATGGCGAGCATTGTGATGTGTGTCCTCCTGTCACGTGTCTGAGCCGGGCCGTCCCACAGTGTCACCGGGCCAAGATGACGTCACAGGGACCTCCCCAACAGCATGGGAGCTCCCCGTTCCCCGGGCTTGCCACCGTGGGTCAGTGGGTCATTAGCAGTGATGAGCCACGTGACTCAGTGGCCCTTCCCTTTCCAAATGACAGAGACCCGAGGTTAAGAAGCACACCTGGGTGCAGGGCCTGTTCCACCTGCAGGAAGACCCGTCCACATGGACGTGGGAGGGTGGGTTCTCGGTGGGCTCTCGGGTCCAGGCCAGAACCTGCAGGAGGCCAGTGCTGTCCTGGTGCCCTCAGGTCTCCACCAGGCCGTTAAGGGCCTCTGCCTTTTCCCTTCTACATCTGTGGGGGGTAGATTTCCTTCCCTCTGGAATACAGAGGGATGGGCATTTCAGCGTCTGCTTTCTAAGTGTAGAAATCACTTGATCACAGAAAAAAATAACATAAAACCCGCCGGGCCTGGGCCTCGGGYGTCCTGAAGGCCAGAGCAGGTGTTGTGCTCCAGACACTGGCAAAGGTGTGGTCTGCACACTGCACCCTTCCGCGGGCTCTGGCTCCTGAGTTTACCCTGAACTGCAAACAGGAAGACACGGTTTGTGCTCCTGTCCTCATTCCTCGTCCAGCACACACTCCTCCACATTCAGAAAGGAAAAGGAGGAAGAGGACAAGCACCGTCTCTTGTAAGGAGAGATGTTTGTCCCGCTGGACGGGATCCTGTCACTGAATGTCACCTCTGCTCCTCGGAGGCATGCTGTCCAGCCCTCCATCCCAGGGAGCCTCCCCCTTGAGAGCCACCACCCGCTTCCGTGAACACAAGCAAATGGGTGAATGGGGCGTCGACAGAGGGGACCCCACTGACTTCTGTTTCAATTTCCCTCCTTCTCTGCACAGGAATCTCACTGGCTCTTTTCCCGAGTTCCCCAATGTAGAAGACGGAGGTTCTGCTATGATTTTTTCCAACAAGACCCCAGAACAGGTACAAATTTGCCCGAGAAATAAAAGTGTGACTCTACCCSGATCCCGTTCTTCAGATTTCAAGGTCAATGGGTTCCTGGAGTTCTCAGGTCCCGTTATTTTCCTGCTAACATCACCGTGGCGTGCTSTAGGGTGCACACCAACGCATATTCCTGCAGAGTCGTTTCCAAATGAACCCACCCTTTTCCTGTCTGATTGGGAGGAGGCATGATGACCTGCCAAGGAGGTTTCCGTGCTGAAGTCTGAGCAGCCTGACTCGGGTGCCCTCCGTGTCCCTGCCGCCTCTCAGGCCAGGTCCTTCCCCCCCTTCCTGTCCCCAGACCTCGCTGCCAGCCGTCCACCYACCCGTCCCCCTCGAGTCTCAGCCACTGAGCTCTCAGAGCCTTGGCTCCTGGCCAGCCCTCCCCCAGCTCTGAGGGCCTTCCATTAGGACTCTCCGTTAATSCCAAAACTAATGCAGAAATCACACTGAGGTCAGACAGAGGTTCAGAGTATACTGACCAAACCTGACTGAGGAAGACGGGAAGGCTTGGGCAGTAGGCCGGGTAGAAAGCCTCCGTGAAGTGTGAATAAGTGTGAATACACATCCGCTGCCCATCATTTCTATGCAGCTGATGCATTTTCAATCAAAATTAAAGTGGTTTTATATTGACATGCYTATTCACACGTGTATCTGGAAAATGCATGAATTATCCACACAATTTTTTAAGGAACTATGAGGAAGGGGAATCGTGTTGTAGATACAGATCAAAGAATTTTTAAGGAATCCAGCCCCATAGTATCAGGGAAAGAACTGATCAAGGGCAACTAGGAGAATAACAAGTGACATTCCTTGAGCAGGCTCCGTGTCCCAGAAACTGAGTCGGACACACACTGGAGCTCAGGAACCCAGGATGGACTTTCCCAGGAGCCGAGGAGGAAAGGACTGTCAACCAACGACTCGGGATCAGTGGCTCCCCATTTGGCAAGACCACGTAGATCCTGACCTCCCTGAATACACAAAATGAATTCCAGATGCACGAGCTATGTGCATGTAAAACACCAGATCACATATTAACARAAAAATGTCGGGATATTTAACAGTCAGAGGGTAGGGAATAATGTTAGAAGCAGGTCACTGTAGGAGGAAATCAGCCAGAATACAGATTGTTGTCTACAAGGGCAGAACCCAAAATTGTGAATGCACTTCCAGTCATGTCACTAAGGGAAGTACTCGGGATACCTGTGATGGTGGACATCAGTTACATTTAGAGTTATTGAAAATAAGAAGGAAAATCTGAAAATCCAGTAGAAAATAAGCCAAGGAATATCCGTGGAATTTTGTTTCAAAAGAAAATTTTTTAGATTCACTTGCAAAGACATTTACATGTAAAATGATTTTGCTGTATCTCTTTACCTGTACAATTGGTAAACATTCAAATCAGGGTAATAAGAAGTCAGCGTGTTGTCCCACTCCTTGGTATTTCTCCAAAAGAACTAAAATCAGTGTACTACAGCGGTACAGTCACATCARTTTTCATAGCAGCACAAATTCACAAGAGCCAATTATGGAACCAGCCCAGATGCCTGTCAGTAGATGAATGGATTAAGAAAATGTGGTGTGTATACACAATGRAGTTTCACTCAGCCATAAGGAAGAATGAAATTATGGCATTTGCCAGTAAATGGATGGCACTGGAGAACATCATGCTAAATGCAATGAGCCAGACTCATAAAGACAAGGTCCAATGTCTGCTCTCACAGCAGAAGCTAGAGTAAAATAAGGGAAACCAGGTATCATCAAGATATAAGGAAGATCAGTGGAGTAGAAGAGGAAGATTGAGAGGGAGCGGGAGGGAAAGGGGAGGAAACGCAGAATGAACTTAACATAGTCAGGATATGTGTGTGAGCATACCACAGGGAGCTCCACCTTTATGTGATGTAAAATGCACCCAACAGAAATACACAGATAAACGAGTGAGAGGAAGATCAGCAGAGTGGAGGAGGGATGGGGGCAGGGACTGGAATGGAGTCCATCAAATTCCGTGTGTGCATGACTTGGCCAAATGAGCCCAACAAATGAGTTATGTGCATAACTCTAAGGCTCTAATTTAAAAAAAAAATACAGTGAAAACAGAAGAAGTCAGTGTGCACGGGGGACAAAGTCACTGTCCTATGCTACTGATGGACACGTGAATTGGTGGGGTACTTTCTAAGGGACAAGTACCAAGTAGACATCAAAAACTTCTTATGTGGACACCCTTTGACTCATAAATGCTGTTTGAGGAATTTATACTAAAGAAAATAATAAGACAAATTGCTATAGATCAGAAGTCAACACATTTTTTTCCCATTAAGGGTCAGATAGTAAATATTTTAGGCCGTGGAACAAACATTCTCTGCCATGGCCTCTTGGCAGCCAAAGACAGTCAGCGAGTGAACAGGCATGGCCATGCGCCAGTGAGACTTCATTTCAAAAGTGGGCAGCAGGCCAGCTCTGGCCCACGCGCCCTCATTTGCTGGCCCCTGCCGTGGAGATTGCAGGAGCTGCTGTCTGCCTGGACCTCGGTACTGGCCCAGGAGACCCGCCTTGCCGTCTTGAATAAGGAATTGAATGGCTTGAAGCAGAGCCGTGCAGTTAGAACCAGGCTGCAGGTCAGGCCTTGGGTCCTCACCGCCCACCCTGCAGCCAGCCTGTCCCTGGCTCCCTGCCTGGGCCTCGGGTCAGACACACGGGCTTCTCTTCAGGCTGCAGAGCCCCCTCCACTTCCCCAGAAGTCACGGTTGTCGGCCCCCCTTCCCCTCCTGCCTTCTCCCCCMACTCTGCAGCACCTGGCCTCTCCACCTTACCACTCCCTGGCCGGTCAGCCGCCCGGTCCTGCGGGACTGCTGTCTCAATCCGGCCGCGCTGCCCTCCTCTGTGTGTGCAGGTCTTGCCCCTGCGGCTGAATCTTCAGGCACCAGTTGTTCTGAGCCCGTGGCAAGCAGGCTGCGTGCTAGCCTGGGAAGGATGCAGGATGTTGTGGACGCAGGATGTGGTGGACTCCAGTCCATCTGAGTGAACCCGGCTTGTCTTTACAGGTTTCAGTAGAGCAGAGGGCGMGAGCATTAGCTCTCATGGCAGGCGGAGGGAGAGTGGGAGGGGCAGGCGACGACAAGTCCCATCTCCTGCATGCCAGCACACTTTGGGCCCAYGGCGCAGGTCGCGGCTCCCCTCTGCCTGCCTCTGCTCCTCTGGATCGTRGTGCTGGCCATACCTCCTCCTGTGCGGGGGCAAAACTTAGGTGCAGTTTGTGTGTGACGCACCTAGAACACAGCGCGTCACATCAGTCTTTCAGAAAGTCCCACCAGCTGCTGCTGATGGCAGARTAGYGCTGRCCTGGCACATGCTGTCGRGGAGTGAAGAGACGGCAGGCCAGCACGGTCGCCGTGACAGCACACAGAGGCCAGGTTTGTCTTTCTAAAACATGAAAGTAGAACAAATGCTTTTATGAAATGAGGTTAACGCTAACTCAGAGCTCTCCAAAGGACTTGTATCCAGAGCATACAGACCCCAAACACGAGACAAAGGCCCCAATCCAAAAATGGGCAAAAAGCTTGAACAGACAATGACACAAAACAGAAGATTTGTGAAGAGCAARTCAGCAGGTGGAGGATGCTCAACATCCCTGGTCCTTAGGGTGGTGACCGGGAGACCACAGTGGACAGTGTCTCCCACTCACTAGGATGAAAATAATGAAAAAGACGAGCCCCCAAAGCTGGGGACCGGAGGAAAAGAAGCCCTCAGCATGGCAGCTGGGACCGCTTTGGAAAACAGTCCGACAGCTTCCTGGAAGTTCAACATGTGCTGACCACACAGCCCAGAAGTTCTACTCTTAGGACCCTTTCCAAGAGAAATGAAAACAAACGACCACATAAAAAATGTGCAAGAGTCTTCATAGCAGCGTAAGTCACGATAGCCAAGAATTTGAAGCAGCCTCAATGAATGGATGAATGGGTGATTGGATGGGAGACATGGGGCATGAGCCACACAGTGGAATATTATTTGGCAATAAAAAGGAACGCACAGCTGGTATCCACGGCAGCGTAGGTGAGCCTTCCGAGCATTGTTGAGGGAAAGAAGCCAGAAACGGCGGACACTGAACCGTCTGCGTCTGTCATGCAGAACCTCCAGAGAAAGCAGGTCCCTGGAGACAGAAGGCAGGCTGGGGCTTGCTGGGAAAGAGGGAGGGCGAGGGCAACGACAGTGGACATGAGGGATCTTCCTGGGTGACGGAAATGTCCTAAAAGTGACACCACCTGACTAATTTGCTGAATTGTACACTCAGAATAGGTGACTGTAGAATATGTAAAATATGCCACAGTAAAGTCACACTTAAAAATAGAAATGGGCAGTGGGCCAGATTTGCAGAGCTGTAGGAGTCCTTTATGGATTAGAAAAATGATTTCTTGGGCTGGGGCTGTAGCTCAGTTGGTAGAGAGCTTGCCTCACATGCACAAGGCCCTGGGTTCAAGCCCCAGCACCACAAAAAAAAAATGATAATAATAAGGATGATGATTTCTTGTCTGCGATGCTCATTGTGAGTATTTGCATGTGTGTACACACACACACACACACACACCTCACAATGGTAGTGAAAGTGCACATCTAATTCTGGAAGATTTTGCATAGTTAAGGAGCATGAGAAAATGAATTCAATACTGACCTCTCAAAACAAATCTGAAACAACTACAAGGCATACCCTTTGCCACCGAGGAGGTTCACAGATACCATGCACTGGGATAGCAAGGACGCAGAGGCAGCCCCTTCCTTCATCGTGGTGAAAGGATGAATTTGTCCAACCCAGGACAGTGTCACAGAGGTACATACTCCTGATCCAGCATTTCACTTTTAAGAATTTATCCTGCAGATACGCTTGCACCTGAAAAATGATGTCTGCCTGTACTTATTCATGGCAACAAGACTCTTTTCTGTCTGCATTAKGAAATTCATAGGCAGGATTCATCCTTGGGGTGCAAGGATAGCTCAACATATGCAAATCAGTCACATTACCAGAAGGAGGGATAAAAATCATGTAATAAATACATAAAGAGCATTTGACGAAATTCCACATTCTTTCATGATAAAACTCAACAAACTAGGTATAAACTTATCTTAATACAMTAAAGGCCTCAATATGAAAAGCCCACAGCTTAACCTCATTACCAGTGGCAAAAACTGGATGCGCTTCCTCTAAGATCAGGAACAAGACAGGGGTGCCCATTTTTGCATCTTCTATTCAAAATAGTACCAGATCGACAAATCAGGAAAAAATAAAGGAGGGAAACTGTCTCAGTGAACAACATCATCTTTTATGGAAAACACTGTAGACCCCCCAAAATCCTGTGATAACTAACAAGTAAATCATAAAATTTCAGGTACAAAATCAACATTAAAAAATGAGTAGCGTTTCTGTGCACTAACAATGAACTCTCTAAAAATGAGATCCAGAAAACAATCCTATCTACAATAGCATCAAGAAATAAAATTTAGGAATAAGTTTAAAAGGGTGTGAAAGATCCATACACTGAAAACTGTAAAACATCGATGAAGAAATTGAAGACACAGATACGTGGAAAACTGTATTGTGTCTGTGGATTTGAAGAACTAATATTGTTAAGATACCTGTACTACCCCGGCAATCTACAGATTCCGTGCCATCCCTATCAAAACTCTAGTAACACTTCTCACAGAAATAAAAAACAATCCTAAAATTCATCAGGAACCAGGAAAGACCACAAATAGCAGAGCAATCGTGAGCAAGGAGAACGGGTCTGGAGGCACCGCACTTCCTGACTTCAAAACGTGTCACAGGCTGCCGTGAAACGGCACAACAAGACGTCAACGAGTGGAACAGAATCGAGAGCCCAGGCGTCAGCCCACACACCACCAGCACCAGTCTTCCCTGGAGGGACCAAGGACGAGAGTGGGAGAGGACAGTCTCCTCCACGCACGGCACGGGGAAGATGTGGTCATGGTGTGGACCTGAATGTCCAAAGGCTCGGTCCACAGTGTGGCACTGTTCAGAGGTGGGCCCTTGGGAGGCGATGGGGTCACCAGGGTGCTGACCTCATGRGTGGATCGATCCTCGTGGGGACTCATAGTTTAATGGCTATTGGGAGGTGATGGAAACTTAGGAGGCGAGACCTAGTTGGAGGAAGTAGGTCACTGACTGGGGAAAACCCTCAAAGGGTGTGTTTTGTCCCTGGCACCTTCCTCTTGCTCTCTCTCCCTGCTTCCTGGCCTCCATGCAGTGAGCAGCTCCGCCATGCTCTCTGCACCACGATATTCAGCCTCACMGCAGGCCCRAAGCAATGGGCCCAGGGACCAAGCACTGAAACGTCTGCAACCATGAGCCAGAATGAATCTTTCTTTCTTGACGTTTGTTTATCTCAGGTGTTTTGTCACGGTGACTGAAGCTAACACAGAATGAAACTGGACCCTTATGCCACACTATGTTMAAAAACCAGCTCAAAATGAATTAAAGATTTGAACATAAACACCAGAATCTGTTACTACCCTGAGAAGACATAGGGTGGACGCTCCGTGACATGATTCTGGGAAACGGATTTCTAGATATGACCCCAGAAGCACAGAGAGCAAAAATAAAAACAGACAGAACTACATCAAACTAAAAGCCTTCTACACAGCACAGGAAACCGTTCACAAAGCCAAGGGACAACCTCAGCTTGGGGAGGTGGGAATACATCTGATAAGAGGTCGATATCCAAAATATATAGGACTCAACTCAATAGCAAGAAAACAGTCCAATTAGAAATGAGCACAAGACCTGAACAGACATTTCTCAAAGACATACCAATGGCCAACAGACCTACGGACAGCATGTTCAACGTCAAGAAGAAATGCACATTGCAGTCACACTGAGATACCACCTCACACCTGTTAGGATGGCCGGTACCCAAAAGATGAATGGTGACAAGCACAGGTGAGGGGAAAACGGAGGAGAGGGAGCCGTGTCCACTGTGGGAATGCATCCAGTGAGGCCACTGAGAAAGACRGTCGGAGAACCCACAAAACACTGAAAACACAGGACTAACGCAGGGTGACAAGGTCTTTAAATTTTTACTCTCCAGAGGCTGCCCGAATATCCTCTGTGCTCACAATTGTGTGATCTGAGTAAGTGTCCCTGRAGGCCATCTGCTGAAGCCTGGGTCTCCAGACAGTGGCGCTGCACTCTTAGGAGGTGGTAGAACCTGCAGGAGGGGGGTCCTAGTGAAGGGCAGCCAGGTCACTAGGGTGTGTTCTAGAAAGGGGTACCTGGGGCTCTGCCCCCTTCTTCTCTCTTTGGCTTCCTGAGTGCCACACAGCATGCTCCCACCTGACCCACTGCCTCCCCACAGGCCCCAAAACAATGGGGTCAACTGACCACGCTGATAGCCAGAATAAACCTCTCTTCTTTTTAATTTGATCATCTCAGATATTTGTTACAGCAATGGAAAGCTGATTAATACAATGATAACGTTGCTTTTTACACTTTAAACCTTAAAAACTAGGCCTCAAAGAATAACGTAGTTAAATATAAAAAATACAATCCTAGAAGGTAAACTTCTGCACTTTAGGAAACCCCTGACAAGGCATGATGGAATAGAGTTTATCCCCAGGAAGATGGTTTGGCACAATACACTAGAGGTAAACTGGTATCTTTGTCTTACCTCCTCAACTCCAATTATTTTAGTTGCATACCTCTGTCTTCAGAGTATCCACTGTGCTGAATTTGGAGTATGTCATTCCCAAGTATTCTTTATATTTGGATTCTATACATRTGTTCCTGAAAATGTAGGTCACAAACTTTTAATCAACCATAGGTGTTTCATGCCATAGAATAGAATGACCTGTGTCCCTGTAGCACACCTGGCCTCTTTTCTGTCTAGGTTATAAAACTGATCCCAGTTGGCACCCATTCAAATCCAGCTCAGCTACTCCCTAGCGGTGTTTCTCTGATGGACTCATGGGCTCTTTGCATCCCAGCTCCCTCATTTATAAACTGGTGGTGACAGCACCTCCCCCGGCGTGTCCCACGGTAAAGAGCTCAGCCTTGTGAGGTCTCGGAGCTGTGCCTGGAACACCATTGGTGCTTTGTACGGGGGGTTGGCTTCCTTCTGGAGCTGAGGAAGCACCTCCGAGAGGTCACACAGCTTGGCTCAGTCAGGACCTGCAGGGAGCAGAGCCGGAGGGCCAAGCAAGGGTGTCCTGCCCTGGTCACCCTGGTGTCCCCAGCACTCACAGCTCCCAATGGCAAAGAGCGATGCTCACTGAACGCATGTCCCATTCCCTGAGTTGCATGATCCTCCCCAGACCTGTGCTCATCCTCCCCTAGTGTCAGTCCAGGTGTGATGGGATGGAGGTACTGTTGAAAGAGAATTTTACATTTATAGGAAATACAAATTATTTCTTGGGTGAAGAAAGAAAACTCAGAGAACTCGTGGGAAGGGGAAGTTAATACAAGAACTCCTGTCACCATCGGGTCCAGGCTGGAAGTGGCATCCTCAACTGGCAGGTGGAGGCGGGGCGTGCCCAGCTGCTGCTGGACGTTGAGGGGGCCCAGATGTCTGGAGTTTGAGGGACCCCTGGAGCAGGGGCAGCTCTGAGCTCGGGGGCACCTGGACTCACAAGGGTCCAGCTCCGCATAGCCCCTCTGGGCCCCTCTGCTGCCTCCCGCAGACAAGTCAGCTCTACTAGATGGCGGTCCTGCCACCCCCGGGGCTCATCCCCGCCCAGAGCAGGCAGAGAAGGGTCCCGACAGCAGGTCACTCCAGACAGGACCGACCTCGCCCACTGCTGCTTGAGCGCTGTGACTGTTGGGTTGTTTTCCAGGTGATTGAAGATATCCTTGCAAGCCAAGAAGAGGAAGAAAAGAACAAGAAGAAGGGAAAGAAGGCCAAAAAGGAGGAGAAGAAGAAGGTGGTGAAGGAGAAGCCCAAGGTAAAGGTGAGCCGTCCAGAGATGGCTCCTTTTTCCCAGCGCCYCTTTTGAACTCTCCCGAGACGGCAGGCTCTCGTTTCCTAGGGAAACCATTCCAACCGCCAGGTTCCCACTTTGTTTTTTGTTGATGGACCTCAGTGGCCGTCTTTTCCACGACTTAAACTCTCAGGATAAGTGGCGGGCTCGCGACTCAGACGTTGCAGAGCTTTGAATTTTCATTCCTCAAAACAAATTACCCCCTAGTCTTTCCTCAAAGGTGGGGTGGAGAGAAGGAAAACGCCCTTTACAAACCAAGTCACCTCCCGAAAATCAGAATAACCGTGTCTGACTTAGCCCACGTGCATTTGTTGAAATCTGTCACTCASGGTGACTGTCCAGAGGAAGCCAGAGTCCACGCGGTGTCACTGGGCCTGCCTGGCGGGGTGGAGAGGAGGGTGCGCCCGCCAGGTGCTGCTACCTTGCCGTGGTTGTTGGAGGGGCTTCATCTTCGTGCACGTGGGAGGGGGCGTCCCCAGGGCTGTGGAGTGCTCTGGGTGTGAACTCCGTTGTGGGAAGTGGAGCTCACACCTCAAGATGGCACCCTCCTCCGTGTAAGAGTTTACTGTACAGCCAGTGCTGCCTCGCAGCTGACCAGAAGTGTCCTCTGCATCGCCTCCAGAGTGGGCCCCCAAAGCTGTGGTCCCACTGTGACTCAGCCAGCCAGAACACTGGGTCCCTGAGGGTCGTGACCCCGGTGACCCTGTTTAGAGGCAGAGACCAGCTGTGGCTCAGGCAGCGAGGGGCTTGCTCCTGGTGTTCCAGGACACGGCCACAGCCAACCCTCAGACTCGGGGACTTCCCTGTGGGAGAAGCAACAAGGCGGACGGACAGACTGCGCCTGGGAACCCTGGGGCCAGGTTACAGTGGGAGAAAGGGCTGGGCCAAGGGGCACATGAGCAAGAGCCAGAGTGAGAAGGTGGACATAAACCGTCAATGCCCCCATCTGCACACACACAGGGGAGACCGTGGGGACAAGGACCAGCACATCGCCAGAAGCCCCTGGCACGACTGGTGCTGGCCAGTTGGACGTGACCGTCCTTCCCCTTGCCGCACCCCTCTGATGAGCAGCAGGTCCTTCATCGGCCTCCTTGGTACTTGCTGCTTTCTTCAGCCATGTCCTCTTGTGGGCCRTGACCAAGTCAAGATGGCGCCTGGCAGTCTGCCAGGAGGAGTGGTTTGTGAGGCCATGCCACCGAGCCATTAAGATGGAGGGATTCCTTATTGGCCAACTGCTGTATCTGGATGATGCTGATTGAGTCAAGCTGTGTGTCATCAGTTAGGTATATATACCTCTGCTGTCCGCAATAAAGCGGCTCTCGATACCTTGAGTGCCCGCTCAGTTCCCACTGAGTTTCTCTGCAATAAAGCAGTTCCCGCTTCAACCTTCAAGTTGCTTGTCACCTCCCGGTTATTTTGCCCAGCCGGACTGTGGCCATGTCCCATTATTGTCCCACAATAAGCAAAAGAAGAGACACCCCCCCCCCTTGTTGCTCATTTGGGGCCTAACCCAAGCCACTGGTAGCAGATGCCCTTGATGCCCTCTCGGAACCAAGGCAGTGGATTCCCGGGTCCCTGGGGCCAGCGCCAACAGCACACAGCACCATTGCCCCCCACATTTCACCATGAATCAGCTCCAGGCTTAGGGAGCCCCTCCTGTGAGTTACACCCCTGCTGGGGCAGCCAGCATCCCAGGACCACCAGGTGACAGCACCAAAACCCAGCCCCAGCACGTGCCACCGGGACAGATGGGAAGGGTTCTCCTGCCTCCTGAGATTAGCCGATGGCTCTCTGGCAACTGTGTCAGAGTTCGGCATCTCTGTCTGCTTCCTTCACCCGTCTCTTATGAGTGATGCTCCCGTTAGACCTGGGCCTGGGCCGCCACCTGAGTGTTTCAGGAAGCTSGGCCCCAGAGAGCACCCAGTGCCCCGCTGGCCTGCCTGGACCAGAGTTCTCACGTGCTTTAGTGGGGAAGGACAACTCACTGGGCACAGTTAACCTTTAGAACMTCTTCTCACTCTGCAAGATCATTTTGAAGCACCTACAAATAAGGAGAATTGGAAGAATTTCAATTTTATTGTAAGCATCTTTTCCTCTAAATATGCATGAGGGACTTTACACTTGCAAATTAAAAAAAATTCACTGTTAGTGAAGCTTGCTCCATAAAAATCTGAATTTATCAGCCATGCAATCTGGTCATTGGTGGGTGAAGGGATTTTATTAACTAGCCATTAAAAGACTCAATTAATGATGAACAGTTTGGGACACAAGCAAAGTTTAAGAGCATCMGCATTTATGAAATACTTACAAATGAAAGGGAAAAGGCTTCAGAATCACTTTTAAATCAATGTCTTCATGGAAAGTGCAGATCTACAAAGGGATGCCGAGATTAGTAAAAGAAGAAATGGTGATCTCTAATGAAAACGATGCATTTAAACTATGTTACCAAACTTTTTTGAAGATCAAATTAACCTTTTGGTGGAGTCTTTAAAATTATTCTTTGATCATTTGTAGAATTTCTAGAACCATTCCTGAGACCAGCTATTCCAAYTCTTGTGTGGGGATTTGTATTTTGATGTGTAGAAAAATACATCTGTGAGTCTTCATGRTCGGACAGCAAGACAGGGGAGAGACCACAGGAGTTCTGGTGACCTTGCATAGCTCCTGGGTTACCTGCCCCTGCCCCTCACACAGCAGCCAGGCTGTGGGATTGTTCTTGAGGGGATCTTATGATTTATGACTTATTGATTACCAGGCAGAAAATGTAGGAAGACCTCATATTAAAAGACGAGATAGGATTATCTCTTCAGCCAACTTCTTTTAATCAAAAATAAGTGTCTTTCTAGAATATCACCCAGGTAGAAGGTTAAAATTTCCACAAGTCTTACAAATAAGCATGATATGGGGCCTGGGAGACTATGATAGGTGTAAAAAGAGCCATAGGGACCACTGGGTGTCTCAGCTGAGTTTCACAATGATTCAGTGTCTGAATTTCCGGCTTTCTGTKGGGCTGGAGGAGTAAGGAAAGAGGAGTCATGTGGGGACCTCTGCAGTGGCACACAGAACGTTTTAAAACAAGTGATCTGTGACTCATAATCTTGCAGTCCTTTGATCACTGCATCAAGAAGTTCACAAAGCCATGCAATGTTTAAAATCTGAAAGTTTTCTGCTCCTTTTCTGGATCTGGACTCTCTCCAGGCTGAGATGGGGGAGGAGAAAACACAAGCGCTCCATCCGACATCTTCGTCTGCAGCTTGGTGCTCATTGGAGCTCCTATTCCCTCAGGAGCTTCAGAACTTAGTCTTCCATCAGGCAAGAAAAGGAATCTTCACCTCAAACTCACACCTTGTCCACGTATCAGCCCAAACTGKGTCATAAACATAAAGCCATGAAGCCTGAGACAAACTCACGGGGAACCAACCTTCAAGGACCTGGGCTACGCAGCAGGATTTTAGTAGCATCCATAGGAGGACAGTTTGACAAATTGTGCTACGCCGGTTATTGGTGACGAGTCCTGCTCCCTCACACATTGAAGTCTGGACCTTAGAGAAGCACGCCTAGGCAAGCAGATAAAACAGGGATGATTTAAAAAGGGGTGACATAGGCTTCTCCCAGGAGGGAGGAGGGGCCAGAGCTGGTGTCCTGGTGTCCCCAGAGGCTGGGCGTTCTGCCCTTTTTATATGTCCTAGGATCCTTTGTTCTCCTGCCTTTTCTTCTTATCTTTCTCCTTCCTGTGTAAGTGACTAGGCCCAGGACTAGGCCTGGAGTGCTCGGTGGGACGGTGGGACGCCCAAAGGTGGGACCCAGGTGGGCTGAAGGGGGAAGATGGGGCAGCCCAGGACACATTAACAACTTTCTGGCTCCCTGTAGGGAGGGCAGTTCCTGGGACGGTCACCTTGGCAACAGGCTGGAGCAGGGCAGGTTCTTGATCAGGGAGGAGGAAGGGCTCTGAAGGAACTCACATTTCAGTCTCTCAGGGGACAGTCTCCAACTTCCCGGGATTCACTCAAAATTGGCCTCCTTGATCCACCTGACTGGATCTACCTGTCTATACTGACTGCCTGTCTCATTCTGGCTTCGGTTGGACCTCACCAAATTCAAAAACTTTGCAGAGGGTGAGAACACAAGCTGTAGACTGGGAGAAAATATTTGCAAACTGTCTAACAAAGGATTGGTATCCATAGTATAGAAAGAATTCTCAAAATTTAACAGTATAAAAACAGTTTTCATTGGACCCTTGGTTTTAAATCAAAATTGTTAAGGATTGCACAGGAGGAGTAAGGGGACTCATGCCGTCACCAGGACCTTTTTTCCAAACCTCTAACCGACTCTGCAGAATTGCTTTCACTTTTTCTTGAAGTCCGTGAGGTGGACCTCACATTGGCTTTGGAAACAAAAACAACAGAAATGGAACACTATGAAGTGCATTCTTCAACTTTTTTCTCTTCTTTTTTTTYCCCAAGTCACACATTAAACCATTTGGAATTACTTCTAATGTTTTCAACSAGAACATAACACATGATTTGTCACATGAATGCTAGAGTCTTCTCTAAATTCACTGCAGACAGTGAATTTAGACTTAACTAGTGCTAAATTCTTCTGGGAACACCCTTGGATCTAGACACTGCACAATTAGCTTTGCAAGTTCTCATCTGTGGGGCCACCCAGCTGTGTCTGACCGCTGTCCCTCCTCTCCAGCCTCTTGGCCCAAGACATATGTGGAGCACCTCTGTACCCACTGTGATGCAGCAAGAGAGGGTGATGTGGAGAAGGGAGAGGCTGAGCACTTGAGCTATTGAAAGAATGGGGTCCTCACCAGGGAACAGAGACCCCAATGGGTAGACCCCCAGAAAAAGGTACATGAACTTGTATGTGGAACTGCATTCTCTGGGAGAAAGGCATGTGAGCCTTCTCTGTTTCAAGGGGTCTCTCTCCCTTATCAACCCAAGAAGCACCGCCTAGAGAAAGGA